ATTAAATTTTAAAATTTATATATTTTTATTAATATAGTATATTATTTTTAGTCTAGAGAATACAGCAAATTACAAACAAAATTAATTCAAATATCTGAATTACCAGTAATATTTCAAAGCAAATCAAATAACTGCAGTAATAATGAAAGCAATACATCTGAATCTTCTAAAATATTTAATATTTCAACTACAATATATGAACAAGATTATAGTTTTTTGGATGCTTTAAAAATAATAATTCAAAACAATCAAATCAATGGCAAGCAAGTTTTCCAAATGAAGTATATGCTGATTTTATGAAATTTATTATTGACAATAATATTTCAAATACTATTAGTGATACAATTATTAAATTTTTTAATAAGCATGCAAATAGAATTGATAAACCACTTCTTTCATCAATACAGCAAGGCAAAAATTATATTGACAATTTAGAACAAACGATTCATGATTTTCCAAATGAAATTATATTTGAATTTTTGAAACTAAATATATAATAAATTATAAAAATATTTTTGATAGTGTAAAGGAGCTTCTTTCTAGAGAAGATATTGCTAAATTATGTATTTTGGATATTAACCACTATATAAAAATTATAAGGTAAATTAAATTTATTTAATATAAATAAATATTATTTAATATTTAATTTTATTATTTAATATAAATAAATATTATTTAATATTTAATTTTATTATTTAATATAAATAATATTTAATTTTATTATTAATATTAATAAATATTATTTAATATTTAATTTTATTATTTAATATAAATAATATTTAATTTTATTATTTATTAATATAAATAACTATTAAATAATATTTAATTTTATTATGAATATTAATAAATATTATTTAATATTTAAATTTATTATTTAATATTTAATTTTATTATTTAATATTTAATTTTTAGGAAATATTACAATGATCTTATTCTGAACTTTATAATAGTAATTGGTGGGAAAAAATTTATTACAAATTACCTATTGGAGCTAAACCACTTG